AATTATTGGACCCTTCAAGGGACATATGCTAACTGGATCCTTTAAGACAGTGTTTCTCAACTTTGGTAACTTTAAGATGTGTGGACTTCAACATCCAGAATTCCCCAGCAAGCTACTAATATGTGTGTAATAAAAATGAATATAAATATTATATATTAGATGTCAGTACTTTTCAAATAGGAAAGATGTATTATATTATAGCTTCCATAATTGTATACTGTTGATTTTTAACATCAGTTTAAACTAGATTTATAAAATTGCTAGTAATTTTAATGTGTTCCTGTTTAAAGTTGCTATTTTTCATCTTGTCACCATCTTTACTGTGTCACTGAAGCCCTGGAAGGAAGAGGTGTCAGTCAGATCCAGCATTTAATGAAGACTGTTGAGCTGGTATACTGGAATGTTTTGAGCAGGTGGCTTTTTTTTTAATGGTTGTGCAATGTCAAACCAGTGACATTGCATAATTTACTGGAAAATATTGAAAATATTTCACTATGTTCTGATATGCACCCTAAGTTAAAAAAAAAAAAAATTGAGACGGTTCAGTTTCTTCCACAGTACCAACATAGCTAGTATGTACCACGCAAACTGTAAAGAATAATTATTTGCTGAAATTTGCCTCCTTCATATTAAATTTTGAAGACTAAAGCTAGTCAAAGATAAAGGCATTTCATATTTAAACAAGCTGGATTTTTTAAAAAGTAGTTAAAAGTTTATGGCCTCTGGGGGGTCTGACTACAGCTTCTAGAAGTCCAGTCAGCAGGACCCAAATGACCATCCTGGCTGGGAATTTAAAAGCTGTAGTCTGAGAGATTTGAAAATCACCAAGTTCATGAAGCCTGAACTACAGCATGAAATATATATTTTAAAATGGCCATTGTTCTATGCTCTGCATTCTACTACCCACCCCTAAATGGAATAGCTTGATGTATGTGCATTATAGTCTCATATTCTCTGTCTTTGTTAAGGCCATTTCACATTTCTCATATGGAAAGTTTCAGTGTAAGATGAAGTCAAATTAAACATTCAGGTAATTGTTTATAGTCAATATGCACAAAGAGTTTGAAGTTTATTTGTCATTTTGTCACTCTTCTTGATTTTGCATTATTTCATTGAAATGCTTGTCTGAATAGCAAATTATAGGCTAATAATATATGCCTTTGCCAGATAGTCCTAAATATGGACAAGTTTTTAATTCTCTGTAGAAACAGGTGACTTTTCTGTTGCATGATAACAATATGCAATGCTGAGACAGATTTATTCTTTTATGGATTCAAGCAACTATTGAACAATATGAAATATATTAATTAGTACAACTCTGCTATTTCATCATCAGCCTCTACATACTAGGCTTAGAGTGCCGTCAATATATAATATATATTTTCTCTCTTTCTGGATGGTCTAAGGAATATTAGCTCAGGAAACAGATTTTAAAAGTTTTCAAAAGTTTGGAAGTTCTTATATTGCTGCATCATATGTGAAATTCATCGAATCAGCTGGAGCAAGAGTAGTACCAATAAGGTAAGCTGATAAGAATTACATACTCACATTATATGCCAGTCATAAAAAATGGATGCTATAATTAAATTTGTTAAGATGCCACATGATATTGTATAATACAGTACAGAAACTTACTCAGGACTTAATATTCACCATTGGGGAAGTGGAAGCAGCTGTTATGGATGAGTCTCTTGAGAATTGGAATGTCAGTCTTCAAGGCTGGAATTAAATAATATTTTCCTGGTGTGATTGTACTTGCAAAGCTGATGTCATATGCAATAATTAGAGTGTTCAAGTAGGAATGGGGATGTCCAAATTGCTATTCAGCAATTCATTACAGTGAGATCCAGTGTGGTGTTAAGGTGATGGACTAGGACTGGGGAAACCCATGTTCAAGTCTACCCTGAGGCATGAAAAGTCACTCTTAGTTCAATCTTCCTCACAGGATTGTTGTTAGGGAAAAAATGGATGAGGGAGAGCAATACACACTGCTTTAAGCTCCTAGACAAAATGTAGGATATAAATATACCCCCCC